ATGTGGTCAATCAGCTGAAGATTTTCATGCTAAGTGATGTATGGTTGGCTATATATATCATCGGAGATACGTGAAATTATTAGAGCAGCTAAGACATGCTTCTTATGGCGGTAGAAACTTTGGTTAAGTCGAACGCTGCGCCAGAAAAAGTGACTTATCCGTTGGAGGATTTTTCTATTCGAGCTGATCGGACGTTTGAATGCAGTTAACGGTGGAATGCCGTAGTTGAACTGAAACAGGCAATGGATCTTAACGAATGCTGGAAATTCAATCAAAGATTGTGGCACAGACGATGAATAAAAGACGATCAGTAACTCCAACCACATGTCTGCGTAAAAGGACGAATCGAGTATTTGTTTTGTACATACACACGCGTATGCGAGCGTGTTACCAGCGCAATTACACAGGTAGTTATTGTAACCATGACAACTAAGAAAATCTGGGGATTTCTTACGCAGGAAAATTTGCGCGGAAGAAGGCATACAGATCATTGAGTAGTTTTACACGTTGTCATTGTAACATTTTAACCAGAATCTGAATGTGTCAACAGATTCCGTTAAAACTTCTTAGTATTAAATATACTGAACATCCGTTTAGACGTTCTCGAGCTGGAACTGCGGACAGACAGACTAGCTTACACGTGACGAAGAAAAAGGCTCCCGATTTACATTAATTGGTTAAGAACACGTGTGAATATGGAATTGAAAATGAGGGATTTACTTCCAATAAACATCCACGATTTCAGGGGCATACTGACCGTCTCATTGAAAAACTTTGTGTCAAGTCGTCCCAGTCTGACGCCCTTGAAAAGGCCCGCGATGTGACCTTTCCTGTTGTCCGGGTCGTGGTTGATCCACCGGAGAATGCACTCCCACACAACTTTCTCGTTCTTCACGTTTAGTTCCTCGGCCTCGATTATCGCTTGCAGCTCCTCTACAGGCAGTTCCAAAAGTTCTTCGCTCTGCTGAGACACTTCCACGAAGTGGCGCAGAACGAAGCGACGAGCGGAAGTCTCGAGGTGGGCGAGGTAGTGTAACCTGCGACAGCGAGGGTAACGCTGACACATTTTAACACTGCAGCAAGAACTGAATTCTGAAGTGTTACCACACCACAGTATTTCGCCTGCAGTTTTTGCCTTAGCCGTTTTAAGCCCGAATCAGCGAGACTGAGAGGAGAGACGTGGAGAGGCAACGGTGAGAGACGCTCCGTTTAACCGGGGAAAAAAGGAAAGTTTTCGGCTCTGAAAGTTCCCAGGCAATGCCCGCTCGTCCTCGTGATAAGGTTATAGGTTGAAACAAGGGCACGCAAGTGAACAAGGCAGTGAGATGAGGAGTGTAGAATTTTGAATTCTGACCTTAACATTGGCGAAACGACGTTTTGGTAACTGCCTGTGTTAATCCCGTGCAACCTCGTGTAACCGGACTAAATGGGGGGAACCACATGTCTGATGAGCGGGGAGAAGGGGAACGTGGTCATGGACTTGAACGAATAAGTAGAGACTCGATACAGATTTTAGTCGCTAGCGAATGATGTAGAAGAGTCGCACGCACCAGCCGACGGCAAACTCACTCGTGAGCGCTGTTCGAGAGAGTCCCTGTACTAAAAGAGTGAATTTGTCAGTCATTCTGTCCATCGCATGAACTGGAGGTTCCGGTGTGATTCTGAGGATGTCAGATGATTTGCTTGCTGTGTTGTCCTGAACAAGAAGGAGTAGGGGTTCATCTTCTACGGGAACCAGCGGGTCGGTCTTTGTCTTTGCCCTTAATAATAACCAATTCTCTAAATGTCTTGAAGTGTTCGTAATAATCAGCAAAATCTGGGTGTGAGGTTAGATCAATGAATTGTACCGCGTGAACATCGCTTTAAACACTTTCGCCGGTGGAATCCAATCGCAACTGATCTGGATGAAATTCGGTCTCTTAATGCGGGAATCGGATAATCGAGTCTCGGTTTACAGAGGTTCTGCTGTATGCAGAAAAATGTGGGGCTGAATGATGATTTGGGTATTGGGAGGATTATGTGAGAAGCAAGGAATTCCGCAGAGAAAGAAGGAAAGGAAGAAAACGAAGAATAAGATTTCGAGAGGAAGACAGATTTAAGTATGACCCTGCAATAGATCGCGATTAACGTTCCACATGGTGAAATTAGTCATCTGCTGGACATAATAACGATCAAAACATATACAGTTAAATCAGAACATTTAAATTACATGGACGTTAATAATAACCCGCCAACAGCCCTGAAATACAACGCTTTATAGTTCGCCCAGTCCTCAGTCAGAGGCTTTAATCTCCGACCCGACACTCGCTGGTGTCTTGAGTAAAACTGATTCGCTCCTGTGACGAAGGCTGGCGTCACAGCAAATGACAAATGAACATCAATTACCTTGCGACACGCAAGATGTTGATACAGTTGAGAACGTCCATCGCTTCCTTGAGGAAGTCGCAGCAGAGTTCAGTAAAGCCTGGTACCCACAAGTACTCAGCCGTCTCGAGCAGCTGACGCGCGTTGTCGGAGCGGATGTCCACCTCGCGAAAATAAACATAATCCAGTATCAGGGTGATCATGTCTGAGCTGACTCCGTGGAGGAGAATGTCAGTCTCCTCACTGGTGTGCAGGGTTGTCGTGAAGAGTGTCCTGAAACGTCGATTTGGAGAAACGGCGAGCAGAAAATTACAAGTCATGCGCAGAAATTTTAAGTTTTTATGACTCGCGTAGCCAAATAAAAGTATCTTTCGTCAATGTGGTGGATGAATTTTTGTTACCTGAAGACTTTAAAAACTCCCAGAATGAGTACGATTAACTGCGAGAGGTTCAAGAGCGGGCGAAGACTTAAAAGAATATAAATTACAAATCGGAAAGCAAGCAGCGAGCATTTGTACTATAGAATGGCCACCCTGTTTCTTACATAACCTTGAATCCTTCAAGAGATATCTTAGGTTATAACAACTACTACAGAAATTTTAAAGCCAACGCAAATATTTCAACATACATCGCGGGCTGTACATTCCACTGATCTATCAGTTCGTAATATGAAATCTATTTGTTCTCTCAAAACATTTTCCCAAAAATAAACAACTTAAAAGGAAAGCCGATGTTTCTACGCGGCCTTTACAAAGTGATCGCCAACCAGCAAACAATTTCCTATTATAAATTAAGATCTTTGCAGTGCAAGATAAACAGAAATATTTGATTGTCGGAAACTGAAAAAGCGGCACAGCTCGTAACAAGACGTGAGATACGTCTCTTGGAAAAGGGAAACAATGGTTCACGGTTAAAATTCATTTCTCATGTCAAGAACGCACCGCATCTTTATTCAAAACACAAGAAAGTTAACGTTTGCACAAATTCGCGAACGATTCTCTCCTACCAATGAAGCATTCCTCGCGAAGTTCTTTGTTTCAGTTTATTATATTTCAGACAGAGCAACTCACAGCAGCTTTCAGTGTTCCGGACAATGGCGTGACAAAGGTGCGTTACCAAATTGCTTCAGGACTCTGTCGGTCTTCTTTATTTATTAAAACCAAGACGTTTTGGAAATGGGTTGATTCCCTCCAGATCGATTGACTGTCACCTTGGTACAACCGCACTTAAAAAAATACAGGTTTCTGCATCAAAGGGGATAAAATATTTCACACACGAATTGGCGTCTATTGTGTCCTTAATTCACGTGTCAGTCAACCACGTCAGTAAATAAACAAACCTGAAATATTCGCTGCGCATCGACAGAATCACTCTGTGGACTCGAAAGACGCCGCCGTCCTCCGACCTCAGCACCGCGTCACACAAGAGGTTCTTCTCTCTTAGTTTATTCAGACGGACCAATGCTTTGGTGCACGTGCACCTGACGCCATCTTGCTCAGGACAGCCGCTTTCTCGCTTAACCTCCATCTCCTGAAAAACATTCGATCGCTGTTACAGGTTTTTCTTCACACTGACGCGTGTGCACATCAACTGAGAGTGACTGAGAGGAAACACGATACTGTGAAGAATATCTGGTCCTGAGAGCGGGATGGCGAAAATTGCATAATATGGAGCTTTATAGATCTCTTCGCTAATTAATAAATTGTAGGGTGTCAGATCAAGGGTGATGAGATGGGCTGGGCATGTAGAACACATGGCAGAGACAAGAAGTGCAAATTTTAAATCGGAAGACCTGAAGAGAAAATGTCACTTTAAAGTCCTATACGTTGATGGGATAATATTAAAATGGATCTTAGAGGGTGGAGAATAAAGGTGTGGCTTGACGCCATCTGCTTGTGAATATGGCTTAGAGGCGGGGTCTTGTAAACACTTCTTGTTTCATAAAAGCGAGCCATTTGATTATCTAGGCTGCTGTTAGATTGTCGGCTCCGCGGAGTCAGTTTGTTTTTTTTGTTATAGAAATGCCTGTTGAGATTCAACACAAAATGACAAAGCTCTAAATGTGACTAATCGAACTAACTACCTAGACGGCTTACCGAACACGAAGTTTCATCACCGAATTAACCAAAGCCCTGTCCTGGTCCAACAAAATCCAATCTCCTTCAACTCCGATCTCCCATAGATCCCGCCAGAGATTATTCTCCCATCTACGTCTAGGTCTCCCCAGCGGCCTCTTCTACTCAGGCTTTCCAAAAATACCCGGTGCACACCTCTCGCCCCATCCATGCATTCCACATGCCCCGCCAATCTCAATCCTCTTGGCTTAATCACCCTGAAGATGTGACTGATTTAGGCAATGTTAAGTCATGCCGCATGTTTGTCATTACCCGCATAAAGTTAATTCTTCTTTTACGTAAACTACGTAGGCATTACGTATAACATATCAAGTAATCTGTAAAGTCTTAGATGCTTCTACTCTGGTGTACAGATTTTAAAAAAATTACGAAAAAATATGCCATAGAAATTGCGTGACCTTCGATGCAGATCCAGACAGTTAAGAAATAAATTTTGGAAAAAGATGGTTACGCCTTTTCATAAGCATAAACTTTTCGAGTTCTTCTCTCTCTGTAGAACTAAAAGTGCTTAAGAGCTTACATGACTAAGGACTTTCCTGCCTAAGTTATACATTTATATAAACTACGAGCGCAATACGTCACTTAAATTTATCAAATGAAGGCGAGATTTACGGTTGGGAACAGTCACAAAAGCTCTAATTAGTTCTAACGCAAGCGCAGATCAGGACTAGATCACGCTACTCAAACACTGCAATGAGCAAGGTATTCTATGAAAAGTCGATTGGTACTCGGCTCGTCAAAGAACATTCCACTTCCTTTACTGAACCAGAAGGTTCATCATCGTGTTCACAAAAGCCCGCCACCGGGGTCTATCCTGAGCCAGTTGCATCCAATTCGCTACTTCGAGACCCATCTCCCTAAGATCCATCTTAATGTTATCCTCCCACCTACGCCGAGGTCTTCCCAGAGGTCTCCTCCCTTCAGGCCTTGTAAACACTCAACTCACCCTAACAACATCGGGTGAGGAGCTCGTCATGCGTTTTTCTCTATTATCTGTCCCACCCCCGTTTTGGGTCCAAACATCATCCTCAACACTCTGTTCTCAGAGACCCTCAGTCTATGTTCTTCCCTCAAATTGAGAGACCACGTTTTGCACCCATAAATACTTTGCACTCAATAATAGCAAGCATCCCCGGGATTTAATCTGTTGTTGCAGGGATGATCGTCCATAATTAGGCTTGTGAATCCGAAATAATAATTCTTCTCAGTTCCCTAAAACGCTTTAATAATGTCGATGTATCAGGAATTGTATAGTTTTAGAATTATTGTTCAGAATATAAACCCCACTTCTTAAGATCCACATATTTTTATTAAGATTCTGGGCTACAATACAAATTATTTTCCTTTAAAATTGTAAAATGTTGATTGCCTCCTGGAATGTTCTTTCATTATCAATGATGCCGTGAACAAACAGAAGTCGATCTAATGTTACTTAAAATTGTGTTAAAAAAGTTTAATTCTCTTACACGAGTTCACAAATGCAGATGAAAACTGTAAAGTTGATGAACAATAATAATGAATAGGAATCACTTACCTCAAACTTTGTTCAATTGTACGAGACCACGACGTCCACCGTCAATGATCGATCTAATCTAAAATATAATGGAGAGAGTGGAGGGCAGTATCACAGATTTCTCAATAATTCTTATATAAGAAAAGTAATTGTGATATTCTAAAACGTTTTTAACAGCACAAAATTATCTAGTCTACGACGCATTCACAGCCGATTCACAGCAAATTCTTTCCGCAATAACGAAAGCGGATTGTTGACGGCAATAATGAAACAACAATGCCGAGTAAACAGATGACGCAACAATTAGTTTCTTCGGTAAAAGTGTGGAGTGCAATAAGGTTCATTCAGGCTATTATACTTCATGCATAAGAAACGAGAAAAGAGACTTACGGCACGCTCAACCAAGATTGTTGCAGGTGTGGTTAGGAAATTCCAGTGCTTTTTCTTGCATTGTTACGCACGCAGGAGTTCACGTAAAGACTGACCATTGTCGGTCCATATTTACACATTGTTGGTACTTAAAGAAAAACAGAATCACTCTAACTTATAATTTGGTTACATTCAATCATAAATGTAAAAAGTGAATAATTAATATTAAATGTGCTCCTTATCAGAAGGAAATAAATTTAAAAATAATGAGAAGGGGCATAAGAATGAATTGCAATTTCATTTTCGCTTATTGAAAAATAATGTCTGGTTTTATTTTGCTTTACAAAAATAGGAAAATTTCATCTTCGAAATTTTTTCAGAAAATTTGGGAAATTTTTGGTTTTGTGCGCATGTCAGACAATTGCAGCATTCTTTCATTTTTCGACAATTTTAAAAAATTTCAATTCTCTATAAAATTTTCCCTACTCGATCCCTAACAGAAATAGTCTCTTCCACATTCGATAACTGCCAGGCATGGTCTCGGCCTGAATCGGTCTATGCCTCACTCGCTATCTGCCGGATACTGATTGACTCAGTTGGTCTGTGACATATCCGGTCTCTGCTGGAATCAGTCTGAATCACCCGATTTCTGCCGCTCTCGAGCTGCCTCACTCGGTCTCCAGGACTGTGTCTGCCTCAGCGTTTTCTCCATCACCCGGTCTCTGTCGGTAATAGTCTGCCTCACCTGATCCTTGAAGAGGCGGCAAGTCATAGACCGGGTCCGGTAGAGCCCGGCTCCTTCAGAGACCGGATCGGCAGACACTGGTTCTGGCAGGGATCCGTTGGAAAGAATTTTGGAAAAAAATTCAAATTTTCAAAAAATAAAAAATGCTGAAAATTGTCCATAAAGCTCACAAAACTAAGAAATTGAAATATTTCAAATAAAAAATTTCAAAATATTTAGAAATTTTTTAGTTTGTGCGATTTTTAGACAATTTGAAGCATATTTTGATTTTTCGAAAATTTCGAAAAATTTGAATTTTTTTTTCAAAATTCTCCCCACCCGATCCGTGCCAAAACAGGTCTCTGCCGTACCCCGCCTCTGACGGACCCGGTCTCTAGACCCTGTCTCTGCGAAGACCGCGTCCGTCAGCGACCGGTTCTGGTAGGGGCTGTGCACGTTCCAGACTCTGTACGACCCGGTATCTGATGGGCAGTCTATGCATATGTAATTAATAATAAATTACTGTTGTCATCGATCATTAGTAGTGACAGCATTTTGTTTTTTGAGGAATCGTAGGTGGCAATTGATTCAGAAGTGAAGTTGTCCTTAAGCCGGTATCCGTTAAAATAGGGAACATGAAATTAGGTAGTTGTTTATCAGATAAATCACATCCATTAGAATTCAAACAAAACAACTAATGTAATATATTCAAAAAAAAGCAAAGTAATATGACAATATATAATAAAAAATAAACAAGAATATAAACCAAAAAAAAATGAATAGGTAATTTGTCTTGTACAATTCTAATATAACAGAAGGAACATTCGTGTTACACACACACGTGGTGCATCCATACTTCACTGGCTACCACACCCAAGACACAGCAGCGAGAAACATTCCCCTATGAAACAGAATTACAGTAAAAAAAAAGCTCTCCCCCCCTCCATCTCAAAATTGTAGGGTTGTGGGCGCTGTCTTAGCTGCCCGACATTACCCGACCGCCTACCGGCCCAAACTCGCCACTGCAATTGGTACCCCTTTAACCACGTTACAAGATTCAAACAGGAAATGTTCACGTGCATCACCAATGTGATGACACCTATAATCTTCCAACTTCAACAGAACTTACATATATGTTACAACAACAACAAAAAAACAAGAAACAGAACACCAGGTGCCCCCATGGCACGGTTCACACATTTTTCTTCATTTCACAAATCCAGAAACTACACCTTCTCTAACGACCAAGCACCCGCATGGACAACCAATCCACACACTCATCTCTCTCAACTCCCAATCTCCTCTGTCTAGCGTCACCACGCCACGCAAAAATTATGAAATCACGCTATCCTCTCACCAGGCTTAGGCTTTGGAAATCAAGCAGTAATTACGCAGTGCCTCCTTGTCAACTGCGTAATTCCTAGAACTGACTACCCTCGCTTAGCCTCGCGATGGGTGTCGCTACAACTTGTCTCAAGACAAGTATATCAGTGAATTCAATCAGAAAAATACAAATGTCCATCAATGAATAATATAAATAATACCAATTTCAACACAAGTTACCCCAATATAAGAGAATACCCACTGTAATATAAAAAAACTAGCCAAACATGATTATGATGATGCAACGCCCAAGGAAACTGGGCTACGCCCGATCACAAGCATACCATACTTACAAATTCACTCAAATCCAACAAAACATAGCACACCAGAAAATATACGCAATTGCTCTCTCATTGTCAGCTACCACAGGACACAATATTAAACCGAATTTAGAACCAAAAGAAGATGCGCACACAATCTCAAATCCAGACAGAATTTCACTACCCATCCATCTCTTATCATAGCTGGCAAAAAAAAGCAGACCACATCCTTCCACAAGTCCTCAGCGCAGGAGAAGGGGGAGGGAAAGATGACAGCTAATTGGTTGGGCAAAGTCTCATAGGACAAAGAGAAATCATGGCTGGAACGTTACAGATGGTCAATCATAACTTCTCATGGTCGAGCAAACACAGTTCAAACGCTGGCCCACAGAGGTCGCTAACAAACCCTTGAACCATAGAATGGTTCATTTTCTGGTTATTCGGACATGGTACTCCCACATACATGAACCTAGAGTTAAAATTCCGTGCTAAGCTTTCGTAGATCTGCTCACTTTTCTCACGGAATAGACCCGATCCCTCAGCAGCT